GGAAATCCACGTGACATGCGCCGGTTTCAGGTAAGAAAATTTTGTTTGTTTTTTTTTCAAGTTTTTCTTCAATTTGTAAATAAAAAGATTTTGAATTTTGTCGACAAAATTCAATTTGTAAATTTTGTGTTTCCCCTGTATGATTGGATTCATTTCAATGAATGAATTCAATCAACCAAATGATGATCATCACTAATAATAATAATTCATAATAATAATAACATCAAATCAAACTAAATATAAAAGGGCTGTAGTAATTTTATTTTTTCAAATTTTGTGTTTTCATTCAATTCTTAGGGATGGTTGGTTGATTGATGATACGCATCAGCACCTCTCTTTTATGTTTTGATGATTTAGGTTTTCTTTTTTTTTGCAAAATTGATTGGTTGATTTTCTTTTTTCCCTCTCTTTTTGATTATATCTTCATTTTGGATGGCACAAAACACATTCGCAAATCTAATTCAAACAAAATTTAACCCGTTCTTAAATAATAGATATTTGGTTAGAATCTTTTCACATCAATTTGTCTGTTTGCTTGCTTGTCTTGTTTTCTTACATTTTCATTCATTCATTTTCAACGTTTTTTGCTTTTGGTAAATGTTTTTATTATTATTTGATTTTACATTGAATTAGTTTGTTATTGAAGCTGTTGTTGATGATCATCATGATGACGGCTGCCAAACATTTATACATATTAACACACAGCATACACAAAACAGTGAATCATTTTGTTGTTGCCTTATTCTTGATAGAATTTTCTTTTAGATTTTTTTGCTTTACTTTTTCCCTATTCAAATAAATAGAAAGAGAGCGAGAGAGAGAGAGAGAGAGAGAGGTACTAATTTGATTATTTAACACAACATATATTGCTGACAAGGTTAAAGAGAATGATGATGGTATATTATTATTATTAGTGTTAAGTAAATAAGTTTTGTGTTAAGTTTTGATCTTTCATTCATTTTCAATCAATTTATCTGTCTTCTCGTTCGTTTCTTTCTTCAATAACTATAGAGAATAGATCCGGATAATCAACACTGTTGGTGAAACAAAGGAGTAAAATTTTTTTTCCATCATTAAAAAAATCTTTTTTTTTATTTTAAAATATATATTTTTTATATTAAGGGAACAACCAACAACAACAACAAAGCTGAAAACATTATCATTATATCACTATATGATGATGATAATATGGAATAATAGAGTAGTGTGTGTAAAATAGATGTATTAAAATAAAATGAATCCATTTATTTAATGAGTTAGACAAGTCAAACTTGGATTTTTCTTCAATGAAACAAACAAAAAAATCTAATGCTTTTTATCCATAGAATTCATCATCATCATCATCATCATACAGGTTATATTCATTAAAATTAAAAGCGAAAAAATGATAACGATTTTTTTTTCACTAAACTAAACTAAACTGATAAACTGAAAAAAAACGAAAATTAATTATTTAATTAATTTAACCTTTGGGATTAATATATGTTGTTCGTTCGTTCGCTGTTCATTTTCATTTTCATCGAGTTCAATTTATCATCATCATTTAATACACAGTTTACACAGAATATCTCCTTCTTTTTTTTTTGCACTCCCGTAGATCACTGATGATGATGACGATGTTCACTTGATGCTTATTTCACCCTTCCCCCCCTTACGGTAATGTTTGTGTAATGAATCAAATGAAGGGGAAAGAAGATAACTTATATAACATGTTCCAGAAAAAAAGCTGACAAAGTATCACACCAACCATGTTTATAATGGTGAAAATACTTTTACCCAAAAACAGAAAAAAAAGTCATTTATTTTGATTTGACTTCTTTCTGTTTTGTTTTATTTGTTCTTTTTTTTCTGTGGAAAATTATAACCTTTTTTTTCGGATATCAATTTTTTCGGGCTATAATAACCGAGAAACAGAAAAAAGAAAAGATGATAGTAAATGATGTAATGAAACCTTTTCTTTTTCGTAGTCGTCGTCGTTTGTTTTACTTTCGGAAAAAAATATATATAACAATCAGGAGAGAGAGAAAAAGAGAACGAATATATATGGCAAACAACTGATTAAATATTTATCTCGACATATAGATCAAATTTAACTAATTAATTATTGTGTGTGTGTGTGTGTGTATGGATGTGAATGCACCATTCATTTTCAACCTGAAAATGAGAAACAGAAACTGAAACATACATAACATCACATTGCAAAAAGACTAGATGGGAGAATAGAGGAAACATTGCACAAAAAAAAAACTAAACGAAAGATTGTTTCCAAAAATAATGTTGTTATACAGGCTATTAAAATGAATGAAAAAGAAAAAGGTCGTCGTTGTCGTTTTCCATGACTTTACGGTCTAATTGTTCATCATTGTTTCATGTTACCAAAAAATGTTTATAATTGCAGTTAATCACACACAAAGCACACAAGTCTTATTCAGTTTCAGTCACAATATTCTTTTTTGCATCTTTTTCACGGCAAACATTACTTACAAATTAGTAATGTGTTCAGCCAAAAATAATCATCAAGTATCAAATTAAACCAAATTTTGCTATATTTTTTTTTTGTTTTCCGTTTTTTTCTATATATATTCTAGGTTGTCATATTGACACAAGTAAGTGTCGATAGTAATATTTTGGCCGTTTCGGATAACATGTTTGTTCATAATAATTCGAAACATGGTCGTCGAACTAAACGTATTGATCCAACTGATGGTAATTATTATTATTATTTGCAATTTTTTCCTATGAAAGTTTTACCAGTAGCAGGTTTTTCTGCTCTGTTTTTTTTGTTCATTTTGATGATGAAAACAACAGAATCTAGTTTAATAAAATTGAAAAAAATAGAATTACAGAATTTTTACAGAATCCTGAGCCAATTTTAAGAGAAAACGTAATTCAAAAAATTCAGAATTTAGAAGTTAGTCTCTTTTTTAAAAATGTCATCGATCTTCATTTGAAAATGTAACTTAAACTCTCTCTGCCTTAATTTTATTTTATTTTTTTGAATTTGATTACGACGTGATTGGAATTCAGAAAGGAAAAAATTCTGTGATCAATTTGCTGTTGTGTTGAATCCAGTCATCATCGGCAAATTTCAACATTCAATTCAATAATTTTATTTCAATTTTTCCTCTACCCAATGACATTTATTATTTTGTATTTTTTTCTCTCGATGACATTCGTTTTTTATTATTATTTCCTCAATTTTTTTTTGTTGTCTATAATGACATTTATAAGGACATTTCCAAAAAAATTTATTTCATTTTTCGTTGTTTTTTCGTTCAAAAAAAAAATCCAGCACCATTTGCAGCAGCTCCTTGTATTAAAGCAATTAGTCCAAGTGAAGGATGGACAATTGGTGGTACAACAGTTATCATATTGGGAGATAATTTTTTCGATGGCCTACAAGTTGTTTTTGGTAATGTTACCGTTTGGGGTGAGGTAAGTTTTCATATAATATCACAATGGTGTTCTACATTCATTCATTCATTGTTTCTTCCTTTCTCTCACACACACACCTAACAAACGAACGAAAATAGCTATTAACTTCACACGCTATACGTGTACAAACACCACCAAGAAATATTCCAGGTGTAGTTGAAGTAACATTATCCTATAAATCAAAACAATTTTGTAAAAATGCTCCTGGTCGTTTTATCTATGTTGGTATGTTTGTTGATATAGAAATCATCATTGAAATAATGAAACTATAAATTTACTTTTACTTTGAATATTTGTAAATATTTTTATAGCTATCAATGAACCAACTATTGATCATGGATTTACACGTTTATCGAAATTAATTCCACGTCATCCAGGTGATCCGGAAAAACTACCCAAAGTAAGACAATTTTTTTCTATTTTATAATTTTTGAAATGTAATTTTTTCAAATTGTAATTTTCAATTCATTTTCATGAAGGAAATTATATTAAAACGTGCAGCCGATTTAGCTGAAGCATTATATCGAAATACAACAACAACATTACCACCGCCAAGATCACCAGTATCAGCAACAATGGCTGCTGCTGCAATGTCCGGATTTAATGCCTATGCAGCTAGTGCAGGTCAGCAAGCTATTTGTTTAAATAATGATGATAATGTTATTGATCATAATCATCTTCAACAACCAATCAATTTGGTTAATAATGATGATGATACAATTCCAATGAATCCTTTTCAATCATTTTATAGATTTCAAATCGGTACATTTTTCGTTTTTTTTTTTGATTTTTCATTATTTTTCCTTCAATTTTTCGTTTCACTTTCACTTTCAATCTCTCATTCTGGTTCATTTTCATTAAATTCCCTATGGATGTCTATGTGAATCATCTTTTTTTTCTGTGATTCAGATGAATGATTCATTCTAACAGCAAAAATGAAATGAAATGATCGATTAATCAATCAGTCAAACAAAAATATAACATTTATTTTTCACTATATCCATTTTTATTATTACAAAAACAGATTATTCAAGACATCAAACAAGCAGTGTATCACCACCAAGTCATCGAAGTTATGGTTCGAATACATCATCACAAAGTAGTACAAGTAGTGTTACATCATCATATAATGGTGCTAATAATGGTAATAATGGTGGTAATGGTGGTGGTGGTGGTTCATCCAGTTTATCATCAACAATGAATGGTAGTAATAATAGTGGCGCTGGTGGTGGTGGTTATGGAGCAAATTCACCAACAACATCAATGACTACCGGTTCACAAGGATTATTTAATGGTAAAATTTGTTATTTTTTGATTGTTAGCTAATTGAAATCTAATGATAATTTAATCCATTCATCAATCCATCGAATAGGAATGAGTGGTATTGTAACATCACCATTTGCAATGAGTCCATTTGCAGCATTACCAACAGCATGTCATAATGGTCAATCATATCATCATGGATCACCAATTGTTAGTGCAGCTAAATAGATAAACAACGAAACAAAACAGCCAAGCAAAAATTTATCCAAGAAATCGATAAATTGTCATTAACAATTTTTTTCTCTTCGAAACCAAAAAATTGTGTAAATGTAAAAAAGAAAAAGAAAAAAAATACCATATTATTATCAAAATTATAATTATTTAATGATGATGATCATCATCATAAAACCATATGAAATTATTATGTGTTTTTTATTCTAATTATTAATCATTTGTATTTACATTATTATTATTATTATTAACAACATTCCACACAAGCCAAAATCGATATTATATTATAATAATTTTATTGTGATGTGAAAAAACAACAAACATTTTAAAAACAAAACAACAAAAAACATAGTGGTGCCAATCTTTTTCAATTCATTTCATTCATTCGCATTTCATCCAATCCATTTTCATCCAATCCAAATATCAAAGACAACAATTATTATTCCAACGAATCCAGACAGACACAAACAAATCCAATAAAGATTTTTTCTCTCTTCCTTCCCTTGCTTGCTTCATTCATCATCATCATCAAAAATTTTCAAACAAAAATATTATCCAACCAAGGAAAAATAAAATATTTTGCAAAAACATATGTGGATATTCTTGATGTTCTTGTTATTCTTTGTTTTTTAGTTTCTCTTGGTTCAATATTTGACATTTATTCGCCGGTATAACTTGATTTTATTATAATGATAATTTCATGATGATTATGATTATCCTACCCAAAACAAATTGATTATGATGAGCATATTGAGTTATGGAAAAATAAACTTTTCCTTTGTTTTTTTCTGTTTTAAATTTTGTTTTGATATGATACGAATTGATTCGATTTGATTTGAATTGGGGATCGTTTCAAATTTTTTGTTTATAAGCTTTCCGATTATGATGATCATAATTTTGTCACTTGAAAATGCAAAAGAGATGTATCAGTTTTTCATGTTTTTTATGTGATATACAAACAACATACGTATAAATCTAATAATTGTATGAAATAGACTGTGTGTTAACCATCTGTTCATCATCATCATCATCAATGAAATGAAATGTGAAATGAGAATATAACATTTATAAGATAGATAGATAGATAAAGTGGAAAATTGGAAAAAATAAGGTTCCAAATCTATTATTAATGTGGCCATAATAGGCAAACAATATGAATGAAATGAAATGAATGAACGAACGAACGACATAAAGGACATAAAAATAATTTTTACCATCCGAGTATAGTCCGTGCACATAATAATATTCATTCATTCATTGTAAAAAAAAATTGTGCACGTGCATTGAATTTGAAGAACGACCTGATCGATCCTCGATTCAAACAAAAGTACAAATAAGCCAATAGATTGGATGAATGGATGGATAGGGCAAACAAACAAACACGACAAAAAAACACCATTTTCAAGTAGGCTGAATGAATGTATAGCCTGAATAAATGATGATGTTTTTGTTGATGATGTTGATGATGATCATCATGAGGATGGTGAATAGAATCTAATAAAGCAATTGGACAATTACATGATCACTATATATATGTCACCATTACCATTATTATTATTATTATACACTTGAATGAGTCAATATTTTGACACAAAATTTGTAGCCATATGTGTTATTTTGGTTCCCCGAAAAAAAAATACCGGGGAATAGCCATCATTTTTAATTAGCTTTCGAAAAACAAGAATTTTTTCACCTTATTGTTTGCTTGGTTGGTTGATTCGTAATAGTCAGTAGTTAGTTAGTACAGTTAGTTAGTTTGGGGGCCAAAGTTCACTTGTTCGCTAATCGAAAAAAATGTTTCAAAATTTGATAAAGTTCAGTTCAGGTTTTTGGTAATTTTCAAAATTAAAGTCATGTCCAATATTGATATTGTTGTTGATGATGGAATCGACCATATGATTCTTTCAAAATAAAAATAAAATGACATTTGGCCGGGTTGGATTGATTATTGTTTTGGCTTGGTTCAGGTTCAATGAATAAAACAACCAGCTAGAATGAGATATATGAACTTCGAAACAAAACAAAACTGAACAACCAAAAAAAAACTGATCAATTTACAATCCACACGAACCAAACCAACCAACATTGCCTGACATACAAGTGTGGTTGGATGGGATAAATAAATCCAACATCATCCGCCTGAAACAAACAACAATAGAAACATATAATAAAAATTTACAAAAAAAGTTTCGGACAAATTGGGCACAGGTGCTCACCATACATACATACATCGAGAGAGATAGATTTAATGAATCCTCTATTGTTGTTTTGTTGTTGTTGTTATTATGCCGGTCTTAATCAGCATCAGCAGCAGAAAAATATGTTTGAAATCTGAATGACTCACGCAAAATTCAATTGAATAGAATTGAATTGAATGAATAAATTGCTCATTTTTATCCAAAGTAACAATAACGATGCCAATGACAAAACAAAACAAAACGAAAAAAAGAGCAGGATAAATATAAAATCCAATTTAATCAGATGTTATGCTTGAAAAATTATTATTTTCAAAAATCTTGAAAAGAATTGGGTCTGTAATTTTACTGTTTTCTGGATTGCCTGAAACGTCGTAATGTTCATCGATGTTGATCGAAAATCAATTGATTTACTTTGTGTAACGGAATAATAATAATAATAATCCAGGTGAATGATGAAGAAATATTTTATTTATCAAAAGTTATGCAAAATTGCTTAAATACAAAAAATTGTAGAGCCTGTGCTGCCATCTACAAATCCAAACAAAAAAAAAGGTTTGGTTTATGAATGTCAATATGCTGCCATCTTTGGTGTAACAATTTCGAATAAATTCCCAAAATGTTTATTCTGTTTCATTAAAGATGGCAGCACGATACATCCTATTTTGCGGGCTTTTTTTCTGTCGAAATTCATTCGATTTTCAATTTGGTTTTTTGTTTTTTTAAATCTTTATTTACAGTTTTATTTTTGTGTGTTTTCTTCTATCTTCAATTTCATTCATCAAAAAAAAGAAATTAAATAAAAAAGGTAAAAATTCTTTAAATTAAAAAATATATGATACATTGATTGAATTTCATTTCAGAATTCAAGTTTTTCTGGCCAATTTCCTGTTTCAAAGACGAGCTTTTCGATTATTAATCCTTTCATGTTGTTGTTGTTGTTGTGGATTTTGTTGATCATCACCATCACCATTACCATTACTATCATCATTTTCATTATTGGAAAAATAATCATAACAAATACAAACACAACATCCTGGAAAACGAAACCAATCGGCAAATATACCACGACATTCATTTCTAGGATCAAATGCTAATAAACGATGCAAACGATATTGTTGTTCACAACGGCAACCATCTCTACAGTACATTTGTTCATATTCATTTGTACATTTTTCCCAATGAATATATTGTTCGAATGGATAAACATTTAATAATGCTAATATTTCACCACGGGTATTATTCGCCCAATATGGTGCAACAACTTCTTGTTGAATTGGACATGCATTATAACCTTTGTTACTATTAGTCGATGTTGTTGTTGTTGTTGTCGGTGTCTTCACAGTTGTGGTCGTCATACCATCATCATCATCATTATTACCAAAATCATCATTATTTTCATCTTCAGCAACAAAAATATTGTTATTATGATTAATATCATTGTTGTCGACCAAAATATTGGTATTGATAGATTGGTTCGTTGATAATGACGAAGAAATTGATTCATTTATGATCGAATTATCGGTTATTGAATCATCATTGTAATCAATGGTCGATTTTATTGTTGTTGTTGCTTGATTATGTTCATTATCACCACCACCATCATTATCATTATTGAATTTGGCTAAATATTTTCGTTGTTGTCGATCATTTGATGATTGTGATGAATAGTCTTGATAAATATTATTTAAACGTTCAATTTCATTATGAATAATTTGACTTTGCCTCTGTTCACCATACATTTTTCTAACAAAACCTTGATTTTCAAATATAAAACGTTTCATTGAATTCCATGGATATGCATGACCAGGTTCAATACAATAACCAATTGAATTTATATCACAAGGTATCACATTATTATCTTTTAATAATCTTGGATTTATACGTGGACCACATGATTGTCCAAAACATTCTTTAATCACCAATGATAATATTGTTGCTGTTAACCATATGATTATTGATTTTGCTGTTGTTGTTGTAGTTGAAATACGAATCATCATCATATTTGATTCAAAAAATAATAATTAAAAATGTTGAAACAAAAATCAAATTCAAACAAAATCAATGAAAAATTCTACGTTTAATCATTGTTCATCATCATCGTCCACATCAACCATCACTAACATTGACAATGATAATGACATTCATCCATTTCTTCCTTCATCCTTTAACATCATCATCATTTTAGGTGGAAAAAAGATGCTTCCAAAAAGAGAAAAGAGTGAGTGAGAGAGAAAAAGACTGGCCAGGAAGGTTAACTTATCTTTTTTTTAATTTATTCAATCGGTCATCATCAACATAACTTGTTTCCGAATTTTTTTTGTTCGGGAATTCATCGTGGATAATATGATATATCCTGTTCGACAACAACCAACCAAACCCCTTTTTTCAAGTTAGTGAAAAGAAAACAACATTAACAACTACATAGTCAAATCAAATCAAAGACATTTAAAAAACATCTTTGTCGGTTGTTGTTGAAACATAAGTGACTGTGTAAATTCAGTGAAACAAAAAATCAAGTTTGTTTGGTTTATTTTTATTTATTTATTTTTTCAAAGTTTGACCTACAAAAATTATTTTTTTTTTACAACCGTTTAACCGTTTTCATATGTTTTTCAAGATTTTATCTGTTCGATAAAATCGACAAATACTGGTACCACCAACACCAAACACACATGATATTATCATCATCATCGTTGCAAATTGGCCAATTCGTCGTTGACGAAAATGAAAAAAGAAAATTTTACAATTCAATTTCACAGAAAAAAAGAAGCCTGTTGAGTTTGTTTTTTCTTCTTAGTCCATTCCTTTCCTTTCATTGACATTCATATTTGGTTCACACATTCATTCATTTCATTTCATTCGAAGGGTGATTTAGGATAATAAAGATATTTACAGGGTTTTTTTTTGTTGTTGAAAAAACTATGACAATAATGGTCGATTCAATGACGCTTGTTGATGATGATAATTGACGACGACGACGACAACAACAGAAAGGGGTTAAAATATTCAGGTGTTGTTGTTGTTGTCAACCCTTTATTTTTTTTGTTGTCAAGACAGATCAATATAACTAAATAGATAGATAGCTATCGATCTTTTCAATCACCGATCGTTTTTTTGAAACCCAAACCGTTTTTTTCCAAACAAAACTTGTGTGAATGGTGATTATGGTGGTTTGAAAAAAAAGTGAAGGAAAAATGAATGAAAACGACGATGACAACGGCGCGCGACTTGAAATTTTGAATACCTGTGATAGGTAAACCACAGGCATGATTTCAAAGCCTCAAAAAACCAAAACCACCCACTCAATCACACACACACCCATTAAGGGTTAACAAAATGAATGAAAAATATTTAGTTTTATTTGCCAATTCCACCACCATCATCATCATTATTTACCTGTGTTTTTTTCATTCGTTTTGGAATTCGTCATATCAATCCTATGTGGCAAAAAAAAACAACAACAAGGTAAACTTTACAAAAGCCGGCTTCGATGATCGTTGATGTCGATATCGAAACAACATTCTCGCTGCTGATATAATAATAATATCGTTGTCGTCGTTTTTTACCAAACAAACAACATTAGCAACAACAGTATGCTGCAACAAACTTGCTTCTTTGCTTTCTATCTTTGGCTAGATTGGTTTTTTTCTCGATCCTCGATGATGATTTGTTTTTTGTTGTTGGTAATATTGATGGTGGTGGTGGTGGTGGTAGTAAAAAACTACTATTTAAACACCAACACACCACATTGAGGATATTTTTTGATTCTACTCCAAAAAAATAAAAATAAAAACAGAACAGAAGAAATGCCATCCATATAATCGAGATATCCAAGCCAAAAACCAAAACCAGTCAGTCAGTCAGTCGATGATTGTCAGCCGCAGTTGTTTGTTGGTTGATTTTTTTTACAAACAAAAATTTTCACTGTGATTTTTTTACTGGGTCGATTTTTTCAACCAGTTCTTTTCTTTTTTATTGTTTCCAAGTAGATTCTGGAATAGAATTTGTCGACGACCATTGTTTGTGTATATATAGTCGCAGTAGTGTGCGTATGTGTGAATATCTAGAATATTCTTGTGTCCGATAAATTGAAAAGCCCTTGAAATTCTCTCTTTCTGTGTTTTGCTTATTGTTTTTTTCTTTCTGGTATAGAATCCCGGTTTTTTTTTCTTCTTCTCGAGAAGATTCTTTGGGGGCGATTTTATTCTTTAATCAAAGATATTGTTACTATGTTTGTATCCAATGTGTGAGTGTTGATCATCCAACAACCAGCGACCAGTAAAATCTTTTTTTCGAGAAAAAACAAAATACTTATTCTGGATCAGTTGTTCCAGAAACATCCTCATCATCATCAAGCAACAATAACAACAACTTGTCCTTGTCAAATAATATATAGTGTGTGTGGAGAGAGTTGAAGTTTATTGGTTATAATCATCTTTTAGTGCATGTTTTTCACTTTCTGTTTCTGTGATTGTCATCATTATTATCATTTAAATTGATTAAATCCAAAAAGTTTGTCATTTTGGAATCAAGATTGATGATCCACCACCATCAAGATCACCCTCACCACCACCACCATCATAAAACTGATCCAAGAAAAAAAAGTTCCAGAAAAAATCTGTTTCCAGATACTTTAACAACAACAACAACTGTTCAGCCACTGCCATACGACGAATAAATCATCATTGTTATCAGATCAGAGAAAGAAATTCCTTTTAAAATTTAAAATTTCTACTTTCTTTGTGGGTGAATTGAAAAAACATTGGTTTTTGTTTTTCTACAAAAAAAGCGATTCGGAAGTCCGAAGTTGCCTTTTATCGACCGTTTTTTCTTCGGTGACCTTTTTCTTCTCTCGGTCATTGTGGTGTCACGAACAGCGGTCATATTTGAATTTTGTCCTTTTTTTTGAATCTTTCGATCATCAATTTTGACCTTTGGTTTGCAACAACAAAAAATCCATTCATTCAAAAGATTTTCTTTTCTTACTTCGACGAAACGAAAAGGAAACGATTTTCATTTTCTTTCAAGAAAAAAAAAAGATTTATATTTTTTCCTGTCATCCACACACCAGCCTGACTTATGCAAAGCAACCGAAAAGGTAAAAATTGAATTTTTTGAATTTCTTCTCGTTCGTTCGTCTTATGAATCTCAACAAGAAAAAAAAGAATGAAGAAATAAAGAGGCCATATCTCAAACAACATCGTACAGTATTTTCAACAAATATATTGTCACCCAAAAATAAAGAAAATAATAATGTCATCAAATGTTTTTTTTAAAAAACTAACTGAAAAATGTCAATATCCCCTCTATATGTTTACAATATAGAAATGTGTATCTATGTCGGTGCATTATGCAGTCGTGTGTTGAAGAATAGCAGAGAATTTTATGAATGAAATCTTGTCACACACACACACACGACAAACACGCATTTTTCATCAATTGAAAGCCAAAAAATCAACAACAACAACGACGTCGACAACGGTTTAACCAACGATATAATCTGATATCAAATCAATCAAATCAATCAGAGAAAATAAAATGTATCCATTATCAATAAAAATGACGATATTATCATCATCATCATGGTGTTGGTGGTATCATAATCTAAATCGATTACAATCTAAATACAACATTATTATAATGATCATTATTATTATTATTATTGATTTAATCAATAATGTTTTAGCTAATAATAATAATATTCAAAGATTATCATCATCATCAACAACTCCTGTGATTGGTAATAATTATTATCCTCATCCTCATCATTATCAACAACAACAACAACAACGTACACAGCCATTATCATCATCATCATTGTATTATAATCATCATCGTCATCAGGATAATAATCCAAAAATTAATTTCGAAAATCAATATAAAGAATCAATTAATGAAATACGAACAATATTTTTAAAACAACATTATAATTTTGATGGTATGGTATTATTTTTTGTTTGTTTTTGGTGATATGATTTTTATTTCCCTGTTTTTTTTCATTTATCCTGGAAAAAATACAAAGTTTACGTAACATTTTTTTCATTTCACCAATCAAATTCACATCACCTGTTCAAATATTCGAGATTGGATATTGATTTTGTGCTTGCGTGTGCGTTTGTGTAATCAATAATCAATAAATAAATAAATGAAAAAACTCCATTGAAAGTAAACATTAAATTAGGTTTGAAACACATGTGAAAAAAAAATACCGAAACAGGAAAATCATAATATAAAAATAATAAAATTGATTTAGTGATGCGCGTAGGCTGTAGAAAAAAAACTTATTGATTTATTGAACAACAATAGATCGATCGATCAATCAATCAAACTATAGGCGGTTAATTTCAATCATTTTCATTTGTTTTTCTTTTTGATTTTATCCAAAATTATTAAAAATTTTATTGAATATTCATTAATGATAATGATTATTCAAAATGACAATCGATTAATCAATCAATCAACAAGTTGTTTGTTTGTTTGAAAGAAACAAGTTACAACAAATGATGATGGATATTGAAATTTCTTTTAATCTTTACCAAAATTGTATTAATAATGATGATGATCATCAATGACAACTTGAGAATTAAACAGAAGTTTTTGTTTTGTTTTTTGTTTTTCTGCATTTCATCATTTATCGTTTTGGCCGGAGATTTGGTCCGATGATTTAGTTTCTATAGTCATTTCTGATTTAGGACCACAAACAAACAACTTTGATCTTAAGCTTAAAAAACGAAAAACGAAAAATTTTCTTTGCAGCTTTTTTTTTTGGCAAAACTAAACGAAAAAACATGAAGAACAAGAACAGAATTTGTTTTTCTTGATTACTATGTCTATGGTATACCATTTTATTATTATGGAAACAAAACATGACTTTATCTTTATCTTTTAGGTCTTTTTGGTCTTTTCTAAATATCATCATCATCATCATTCATACCATATAAATACCTGATATTTATTATAAATGACTTATATATGTGTGTATTTGTCTATGACTGAATGAATATATGAATGTTCTTCTCACCTTTTTCTCAGTGATTTTTCGTTATTCGTTATTCGTTTCGTTCATTTTCAATTTTCGTTTTTCTTCCTAAACGTGAATCGTACGTTGATGATGGTGATGATGATCATCAAAGAAATTTTCGACTTTGACTTTTTTTTTCTCTCTCTCAATATCGTGTAATAAGGAATCGTATTGCTGCTGGCAGTATTTTCATTCCATTTCATTTTTTTTCAGCCTGATATTATGGTTGATAGTATAGTGATGGTGGTGGCCACTTTGGTCTTTGGCTGGTTGGTTGGTTGGTTCAAGTGTACATTGTAATTGGAATTTATTTTGTTGTTGTTGTTCAGCAACAACGAAATGAATGAATATATAAAAAAACTATTCGAGAGAAAAAAAAATGGTTACCTATTTTACCTGGTGATTTTTTTTTCTTCAACCAAAAAAAAACTATCAAGGTAGCCAAACAAAAAAAAAGTATTTACTAATTTTCGTTCGTAGCTCAATGGCCTTTTTATGATTATTATTATTTGGTTTGTTTGTTTGGATTGTATTTTTATTTTCATCGTTTTTTTTTCCATTTGCCCATATAGATAGAATAGATAGATTCTTTTACTTCGTCGTCGTCGTCAATCATAATAAACAAAATTGCTCTATGATGATGATGATAAAATATTACAAGGTTACTATCATTATTGGATTGTTATTTTGGTTATTCAAACATATAAGCCTTTATTGCCATTCATTGTTGTTGTGACTGGATGATTTTTGTTTGTTTGCATAGTTTTTTCTATGGAAAAAAAACTTTTTTTTTGAAACAATGTGAAGAAAAACATGTAATGATTGTTGAATTCTTTATCGGATAATAATGATTTCGAAACCAATCAATAAAATTGAAAGAAAGAATGGTAAAATTCGGCAAAACAAAAAAACATTAAGAAAATCTTTCAACAAAAAAAAATTTCACCTGAAAACATTATGTGTGTGACAGAAGAATATTATTATCACATTTTTTCTTTTGCAAATATTTCAAGGATTATATTGTACTTATTATTTACGATGAAATGCGAGAGAGAGAAAAAAAAGATCAAATGATTATTATTATATGATTAAAGAATATGTCAACCACACACACACACAATATATTTTTGATGGAAATATGATATTTTAATAATAATGTCATTAATATTTACAAGCAACCATTTAGCAAAAACGAATGATGAGGATTATCATTATCATTTAAATATATTTTTGTTTGGCCAAATATTTAACCAAAAAATAACGATATCAGTGGTTTGTTTGTTTGTTTGTCTGTCAATTCAATTTTCATTCACTTTCTTTGTTTGTTTGATATTTACAATCAACAAAATTCAATGATAAAAAAAAAAATTTTAAGGTAATTTTAGATTATCAACACCAACAAAAACACCCATTGATTACTAAAGAAATCGATTGATTTGATCGTTTGATTGATCAATCAATCAATCAAAAAAACTTTTTTTTATCAATTTAGGTGGCGAAACAAACAACCCAGAAACCAAAAATTGTTGTTTGTCTGATTTTGATTTTGATTTAGGATGTTTGACAAACAAAAAATGATGATGATAACATATAGTGATTCCGGATGCACTCATTTATTTCATTTACCTGGATTGGTCATGTTTGTTTTTTATCATCATCATTATCAATTTTTTCATTAAATTATTAGAAAAATATTTTTACCCAAATTTGATTTACCTGTTTTAAATGATGATGATCAGGATAAGACCTGTATGTCCACATTCCACATTTGAAAATATTGGGCGAAAAGAAAAATTTAATAAATTCTTTTTTAAAAAAAGAAAATCCATAGCCATCAATGAATGAAGATTGAAATGGCAATTTATTTTTATTTGATTTTCTATGGTGATGATAATCATCTTTTTTTATGAACTAATTACCCCTAAGAATATATGTGTGATATTTATTTTGGAAAGATCTTATTAATCATTATCATTTGATGATGATGATTATAATGACCTGCTGTTTGAGAAGAAAGAAAAAATTCTTAATTTTTCTTTTAAAAATTTCATTTGCTAAATGCTGTTGTCCATTGTGTTTGATTCGAAAGTCCGAAAAATATTTTCACAGCATGTGTGTGGTGGTGATCAAAAAATCTTTTTTTTTTCTCCAAATAACATCAACATGCTCAACATGTTTTTTGTTTGATCGAAAAAAAAACAAAAAAATAAATTCAGTGGTTCAAAATCGATGACCATCATCATCATCGATTGGAGTTTTGTTGTTGTTGTTGTCGGTATATACACATCTCGAAATGATTCGGCAATCGAAATAACGAACAAAAGACGATGATGATAATGGTCATGATGTTAGTGGTGGTGGTGGAAAACAGAAAAACAAAAATCTCTATGAACATTTGCCGCGAAAAATATCCGCCGCGCACACAAACAACAAATACCCACCACCGAAAACGAAAAAAGAAAAAAAAACATTATTTAATATCTAAGGTGTGCTAAAAGATCGAGAAGATAGAGATCGAAAAAGTGTAGTGAACACGAAAAGAAAAGAGAAAATTCCACAAACGAATGAACAAAGTATGGTGGACGCCATTATCATTTATATTGATGCCGACATTTTTGATTATTATCATCATCAAAAGAAATAATGAATGAATTTTTCCATAGAAATATCTTATGTGTGTGTGTGTGTGTGTCCGTCCGTTCTGTTCAATCGATGATGATAATGATGATGGTAATGTGTTTTGTTTTCATTGATGTGCATAGTAGAAAAGAAGATGTGTTCAAATCATTAATCCGAATTAAGCTTACTAATGAGAATAATGATGAAGAGAAATAGCAAAAATGATTGAGTTTTTCTTCTTTTACCCTGTTCTGGCAATTTATCTTTTATTTAATTCAATATGTTTTCCTAATCGATTTCGATTTATTTATATTCATTATCATCGTTTATGAATGAAATTTGTTTGATTTTTCTTTGAAAATTTTTCAAATTTTTTCATTGATTCGGTTATTTGAAAATGATTGGAATTTTTTTTTTTTTTTTGGTTGCCAAAAAAATCCTGATTCAATTGATCGAATTGCCTTTTCGTTTAGTGAAAAAAAAAAGATGT